AAGCGGATTCAGCTGAATAAGCACTATAACCTCCTTTTAGTTTAGCACTCTCTGCTCTCTCTCTCATCTATCTCTCAATTATCTCTCTCTCTCTCTCTCCTCTCTCTCTCTCTCTCAAGCTGTCCTCATCTCTGTTATCCATTCTCTCTCTCTCGTCCTCTCTCTCTCTCTCTTCTCTCTCCTCTATCACACTCTCTCTCTCTCATCTCCTCTCTCTCATCTCTGTCCCTCGCCCTCTCATCTTATCTCTCTCTCTCTCAGCTATCTTCATATCTTCTCCTCCCCTCCTCCTGCTCTCTCTCTTCTCTCCTCCTCTCGTCACCCTCCTCCTCTCTCTTCGCTCTCGCTCTCGCTCTCCGCTCCTCGCTCTCGGCTCTCGTCTCGCTACTCGCTCCCGTCATCTGTCCGCCTTCTCCTCCTCTCTCTCGTCTCTCTCTCTCTCTCTCTCTCTCTCTCTCTCTCCTTCTCTCTTCTCTCTTTCATCTCTCCTTCTCTCTGTCTCTTCCCTCCCCTCCCTCTCTCTCTCTCTCTTGTCTCTCTCTCTCCCCCTCTCCTCCTCTGCTCTCTCTCGTGTCTCTGCTCCCCTGCCTCCTCGCTCTCTCTCTCGTCGTTGTCTCTCTCCCCCTCCCCCGTGGCTCTCTTTCTCCACCTGCAGGTCGTTGGCTTGGCAGCTCGGCACCAACGATCTTCTGCCGATGTGGAACGCGTGTCACGCGCTCGGCGAAGTGTCGCAAGACCGCAGAATGCGCGAACTCGCATCGTCTGTACTACTTTCACCACCTGCGGGGCGCAGAAACACGACGGCCCTGCACAAGCATGGCACAACAAGTTTGTTAAACAGCATTTTCTGCCGTTGAACGAGAGAGTGTGGGGTTTTGTCTGCGAGATCGGAAACTTGGAGGGGGCGCCGACAAGGTCATGACGCGTCTTTCCCACCCGAGTTATCTCGTTTCTCACCGTCTCATGTCTCGTGTCTCGCACGTCTCATCGCCGACCTCTCTGCGCAGGTTCGCATCGACCACCGCACGCAGACGCTGTCGTTCGGCATGGACCTGGTCGTGTCGCAGCGCGAGGACGTTCCCGAGGGACCGCACCTGCAGAGCATGCCCAGCGAGCGCATACGCAGCCAGCTGACGTGCATGGCGCGCGCTCTCCATGCCGCCATCACGCGCATACAGCCCAAGGTGAGCGCGGGGTCGCGTGGAGCTGCTGACCCTTCGATGGTTTCATTGATTGACTGAATTCGACGGGATTTGTACGATTTTAGCCAAAAATTCCGGCATTACGATTTGCTCGCATTTTGGACTGTTATAAGTACAAAATAATCGCAGGCATCCAGCCCAAGGTGAGCGTGGGTCGCGGTCATGAGATGCGGAGCTGCCGAGCCTTCTGATTTCGGCGGAATTTGTACAATTTGAGCCTGTGATTCCGCTATCACGATTCGCTCACGTTGAACTACGATTTTGGAGCGTTATGAGTAGAAAATAATTGCACGCATCCAGCTCACCTTTCCAGCTCACAAGATGAGCGTAGGTTGTGCCGTAGGTTTGAGGGGGTTTCAAAGTGTGGGTTGTTGTAGGGTAGTGGATGTAACGCACGTTGGTATAGTGGCGGGGAATCAGTGGTTCATCATGTAACGTGCATGATTGGTGTGTGCGTACGTGCGTGCGTGTGTTGGGGAGTTATGCCTTAGGTGCGTGCATGCGTGTGGATGTTGGGGAGTAACGCCTTGCATGCGTGCGTGCGTGCGTGTTAGTAACGTTACCGCCTTGCTTGCAGGACGACAGCCTGGAGGAGCTGAGGGTGCAGATCGTGCAGAGCTACCGCAACACGAACAAGAAGGAGCACCGGCGCATCCTGGAGCGTCGCAGCGTCATCGAGCGACGCAAGGAGATGCTCGAGGAGATCAACATCCAGCGCGTGAGTCGCCGGCGCCACCTACCCACGCAACCTCGTCGGCAAGTGTCTGGACTCTGGAGACAGCAGCAGCCTGGAGAAGCAGCGCAAGCTTGCGGCGTTGCTCGACCTGCCTCAGCCGCCGACGCGCGCCGGACTCATCAAGGACCTGGTGAGTAGGCGGACGACGAGCGAGCACGGGGGAAAAATAACAATAAAAAAAAGAAAGTCTTTTCCAGAAGTCTGTGTGGAAAAAATAGCTCTCGGCAAAATTTTTACGTGAGCTATTTTGAGCCTCACGGGAGCGATTTCGGAGGTTTGAAGGGCGAATCGCTGATCGCTCCCGTGTATTTCACCTGCGTGTCGCTCGCTCACAGGTGTAGTAAGTGAAGTGCGTTTCAGGTAGTAGGTGAGGGGGAGTCTCACCTGCACGTCTTTCGTCTTTCGCTCGCAGGTGAAATAACTAAAGTCTGTTTTAGGTCACAATGCTGATGTCTGTGCAAACATGTCTCACCTCTCGTTTCTCTCTCGCCTTCCCACAGGTGAAGTACAACGTGGTGCAGTTTGTGCCGCCGCAGCTGCAGGAGCTGTACCGCTGGACGGAGGTGGAGTTTCACCCGCTGAAGCTGTGCGACCGCGTCTCGCAGTGCCTCTCTTACGTCGAGACGTTGGAGGAGACCGACCTCCAGCAGTACGTCGTCGCGCTGCACGACATCGCCATCATGAGGTTGCTCAAGCAGGTACGCTCGTCCACTTCCCTCGTTAGCTTCCCTCGTTAGCTCCCTGTCGTTAGTCATTAGACGTCGGAGGAGACGGACCTGCAGCAGTACGTCGTCGCGCTGCACGACATCGCCATCATGAGACTGCTCAAGCAGGTACGCTCGTCCACTTTCCTCGTTAGCTCCCCTCGTTAGCTCCCCTCGTTAGCTCCATGTCATTAGTCATTAGACGTCGGATAAGACGGACCTGCAGCAGTACGTCGTCGCGCTGCACGACATCGCCATCATGAGACTGCTCAAGCAGGTACGCTCGTCCGCTCCCCTCGTTAGCTCCCCTCGTTAGCTCCCCTCGTTAGCTCCCTGTCGTTAGTCATTAGACGTCGTATGAGACCGACCTCCAGCAGTACGTCGTCGCGCTGCACGACATCGCCATCGTGAGACTGCTCAAGCAGGTACGCTCGTCTACTTCCCTCGTTAGCTCACCTCGTTAGCTCCCCTCGTTAGCTCCCTGTCATTAGTCAACAGTACGTTGTCGCGCTGCACGACATCGCCATCATGAGACTGCTCAAGCAGGTACGCTCATCCACTTTCCTCGTTAGCTCCCCTCGTTAGCTCCCCTCGTTAGCTCGCTGTCATTAGACGTCGGATGAGACCGACCTCCAGCAGTACGTCGTCGCGCTGCATGACATCGCCATCATGAGACTGCTCAAGCAGGTACGCTCGTCC